ACGAAACAGCGCAGATCAAAACATAACCATTTAAACAGAATAGTGTTTCACCACCAGATAATCCTAACCTAAAAGTAGTTAGAATATTGTCTCTTTCTTTGAAATCTTTGAGTACAACTTCGTATACTGTAGCATTAAGCATATCAAAACTATGTAAAACCATTCAAGAGAATGACAGCATTACAGAGTATTTAGAATCGACTAACAGAAAATGAACAATGGTTTCTGTATAATCTCCTTCTCTTTAAAAGGTTTTTGCTTATACTATCATACATAATAAAATCCAATAAGATACAGCCTATTTAGACCATTGGAGACAGAAGGACAAAAGCTAGATGAGACTTCAAAACAAGATGATACTAAATCAGTATTACCTATTAAGATGTCATTTTCTCCAAAATAGCTGTTCCTATCATCCAATCTTCTCTGCCTCAAAATCATCCTGCCAGATACGGTAACTTAATCATGAACTCCCAGCATTCTGGGAGGTTGAACCAGAAGAATCCCAAATTTGAGCCTGGGTAATTTAGTGACTTAGTGAGATCTTACCTCAAAAAATTAAAAAAGGGTTGGGAGACGTAGCTCACTGGTAGAATGTTTGTTTAGTATTTGTAAGGCCTTGAGTTTACTCTCTAGTACCACAAGAAAAAAAAAATTCAGTCCCCACTAAGTAATTCTGATTCAATAAGTGAAGGGTAGAGTCCGGAATTCTAAAACAAAATGAAAAAATTCCCTGACCACTACTCTCCATCCTTTGTCTGAAGGCAACCATTTTAGAATTTTAGAACTGTCATTAGACAGTTACATATCTCCATAATTCTCCAATGTAACTGAGATTAATTACAAAGTGTCATGGAACTACTGCTCCGTATCTCTGACTGATTTTGGTCTTTCATCAGAATTTTGTATCAAACAAATTTGCTTGATATCAGACAAATGTTTAAGAACCCAGCAAATGAGGAAAAACAACATTTATTAAGCTTCTACTGTGTGGAAGGTCTTTATTACATCTCAGTGAGGATCTTAACTAGCTTTATTTTCAATTCTTGAACTGGGCAACATTTTATTCCACAATAAGAAATGAATGTTTTGAAGAGCTGAATAGAAGAGGTTGCTTTTATAGAAGGGGAAGGCTGAAAAAAAAGCAGAAACAGAGCACAAAATGCAAACTGTCTTTATAAGGTGACAGCAGGAAAATAGCTAATTGGTACAGGTATGGTGTTGCACACCAGTAACCTGTTATTTGGAAGGCAAGGCAGAAGAACTGTGAGTTTGAGGGCAATTTAGCAGGCTCTTGTCCCAAAATAAAATTAAAAAGGCCTGGAGATGTAGTTCAGTGGTAGAGAATTTGCCTAGCATACATGAAACCTTGTGTTCGATTCCCAGAACTGCTAAAACAAAATAAAGGGAAAATTAGCAAGCATCAGATTACTTCATGATACTTTTCTGGTGCAAAGACTAAAGCGGAAGAAACTTCATTGTTACATCCACTGAGATTAGCCTACTTGTTTAGTACCCCCCACACACACCTCCTTTCTCAGTAAGGTCAGTTAGATTCGGTGTCATCAAACTCACTTTTGAATTTTGGTTTGGTATGTTAGAGTCCAGTGCAGGGTCTTAGTACAAAACAGTAGCTTCCAATAATTCAATACTATTTACCAGCACCCTATGAGGCTGGTACGTCCACATACATAAGGGAGTAGAAGAGGCATTTGAATCCAGTCCAGGTTGACTGAAAAACCCAGTGCTTGTCATCATAAAGCATAGTGCAGAATTCAAACAGCATCCTATTTAGGAAGAAAAAAAACTAGGGAAAGGTCTTACTAAGTCTTCAAATAAGGATGATTCAACTAACCCATTTATTCAGGCCCAGTGCTAGGCACAAGATACATACAAATGTTTACTTCCTTCTGCTCAGGACCACGCTGCAGAGAAGCCATGTTACAGTTGATACATTGTGTCAACTTAAGAAGTTTAGAAATTTAAGAGACTCACTCAACAGGGAGCCAGGGTGCTTACTTTGTAAATATCCCCATCCTGCCTAAGAGGGGATTTTGTGAGTGGTAGACCTGCCCTGGAAGGGGTGTGTAGCATGTGTACAATATAAAGGAGGAAAAGAGGCTTGTTCTACCCACTTTTGCTCTGACTGCTTTTGCTGGCTGCTGCCTTGAAGTGTTGCCCTGGTGCCGTGCCACCCTGCCTTGGAACCAGCTGATTATGGATTGACCCCTCTGCAAACAGTAAGCTAAATAAACCTTTCCTTTCTTCATTTGGGGTGCTGGATATTCTGACCCAGCAAAGAGAGAAAAGTAACCCAGACAGAGCAGGTTGAGAGGATTAAGTCATGACACTGAGGAATTGCTAGTAACATATTTGGGCCCACTAAAGAGTCTTTCACTTGAAGAATGAAAAGTCATATAAACCTGGAAAGCTCATAGCTCTGGACCAATAGACACCCTAAACTGTCAAATATACTTACACACCAATCAGAAAGCCTCTCTTTCCACTCCACTTCAAAAAAAACCTCATCCTGAAAGAACACTCAACTGGCAGGGACCGAGTTTATTGATGAAGCAACACTCAGTGGTAGAGTTTACATTCAGAAAGCACCAGAAGCTGGGCCCTTGGTTCAATTCCTGGCAATTATACTCCCCCCAAAAAGAAAGAAAAACCATTCCTTACAAATTCCTTCTAGTCTCTGTTGAAACATAAGTGATAGTAGCTGACTGCTTTACCAAGGTAATATTGAATAATTGCTTTGGATTAATTCTGTAGGTGGTCTTTCTCTGGTAACATTTTCAAAATTCTCACAAAGCTTAAACATTCACACTGCAAAAATTTACAAGACTTTTTGTTCCATCCTGGTCAGATGGTAGACCCAGTAGGGGTAATGATGAACGGGATGGCAACTGAGATCCCCTGGGGTCAAAAGGGCAGTGCAGAAAGAAGTGACTCCAGCATTAGGGAATCTAATCTGCAGCTCTGTGTTGTGAGAAAGTAACAGGATCTTTGAGTCCTGTGAATGCCATGGGGCATGGAAATCTCTGTGGTCCAGGTCTTTCTTGACAAAATGGGAAAACAGTAGGAGCCCCTTTGCTGGGTTCTTGTGAAGATCAAATAACAGACATAAAGAGTGCACCTAATAGGCAAGAGCACAGGTTTTCTACTACAAGCAAAAGATACTGATACAAATGAATTAAAGAATAAATAAGGAGAGCCAAGGATTTAGCTCAGTGGCATAAGCACCTTGCCTGGCAAGCACAAGGTTATGAGTTTGATCTCCAGCACCCATCCCTCTAAAATAAATAAATATTCATTCTTTGATTAAAAAAAAGTATAAGTAAGGAAACAGGGAGAAGGTAAAGCTCCCCTGGAGTGGAATCCAAACTAGTAAATGTGCAAGGATTGAGTTAATTAGCATTTTAACCATCATGAGAATAACTGACTTGATATTAGTGATCAATGGATACTAAATCTAGTAGGTAAGATTTTGGCCACAAATTGGCTATAAAATTAATATAGCTATATTTATATCTAGGAAGAATGGAAAATAGGCCAACATGTAAATACTTTGGTGAAACTGGGTAAATGATCTGTCAGCATATGGGAGTAATATCTTTGTATGTTCCTGTCAATTTGAAATTATATCCAGGGCTGGGGATTTAGCTCAGCAGCATAAATGCCTGCCTTGTAAGCACATGGTCATAAGTTCCATCCCCCATACAAAAAAAGAAAAACAAATGTATCCAAACTGTAAAAAAAGGTGTCAGAGGAAACTAGTACCAATAACTGCTTATTATCTGATACACTGTGCCTTTTCTCAAGATCACATAAGTAAGATTAAAAAAAAATCCAAAATAGTGCTTAATGGGAATCATAGACTTGAATCGCATGTGTACTCCTTATCAGATCTGTGACTTCTGAAAAGTTACTTAAACTTTTGTGCCTCAATTTCCTTTTCAGCAAAATGATTGTTTTATATTTGTACCTACTTAAAAAGCAACAACAAAAACTAAATGAGTTCACGTTTGTCAAGTTCTTGAGTCTATATACAGTGTGCTTTCTTTCTTTTTCTCCTCCTCTTCCTCTTTCTTACGTTTTGGTGAGATAATGAGGGTTGAACCCAGTACCTTGGCACTGGGCTATAGGGCCATCTATTTCTGAGACATGGTCTCATTTCAATCACTAAATTGCCCAGGCAACTTGAACTTGCAGTCTTCCTGCCTGCCTCAGCCAGAGTGCTAGGGTTACAAGCCTATGTCACCAAGCTTAATTGCTATTGCCATTTTTATTACAGGTAAAGTACACAGAATTCTGTAAACTCCAAATAAATGCTCTTATTGTCCTGGTTACCCACTTAAAGATTTTAAGCCATTTTGCGCTTATTTCAGGGTAAGGATTCAAAAAAACGTAAGAAAACCAAAGCAAACCAAACTCCTAAGCCTTTTAGGAAGAGGGGAAAGAGCTTGCACCAACTACAACAGACTCCTTGACGCCTGGATCACAGGTTCTGCGTCCTTTTAACTCCTTCCTGCTTCCTCTCCATATCACTTCCCTGGACAGGCATTCTCCTGACCTCAGGTCTCTGTTGTACAACGCTGGGCCTGCCAGTTCTCATTGCAAGTGACAAATATTCCCAGGTCTGTCTATCCCCGGGGATAATTTAAGTGCCAAGGTCGCAGCCTTTCTGGGCATAATGGTAACCCGGGAACAGCACGGTATGAGGGCCATGGCTTACTACATCTAAACTTAAGGCGAGACTCCTAGTGAGGACCAAGCAGCGGAGGCCTGCAATCCGGCGCCTCCCCCCCTCTGCCCCGCTCCTTTCCCTTGCCCTGCTCTGCCCTGCCCTTGCCCCTGCCCCGCCCACTCCCCCGCCCCGGCCCCGGCCCCGCCCCTCCCTGCCCCGCCCCGGCCCGCCCCGGCCTCCCTGCCCCTGCGCCCGCTCCTTTGCCCTGCCCCGCCCACTCCCCGCCCTCCCGGCCCCGCCCCGCCCCGCCCTCCCTGCCCCTGCGCCCGCCCGGCTCGCCTGCCACGACTCCCCACCCGGTTCCTGGTTAAGATGGCGTCCCCCGCAGCCGCGCAGGCAGGCAGGCTTCTGCGAGACCTGGCGCTTCGGCCCCGGTTCCTGGCTCCCGGGTCCCAGGTGAGCGCCACCTGCCCGGGTCCCCACGCTCTCCAGCTCCTGTCTCCTCCTACTTGCTATGCGCCGCCCCTCGGGGCCCCACGCGCGGCGCTGCCAGGGCGCAGGAGTGACTCGGTCCCCCTTCGGGTGTGGGGACCAGGGCCGAGGGCGTGGACAGCCGGGTGCCTCTGGGTGTGAACGACCCAACTCTCCGGGGTCGCTGCCGCGGGACCCACCGCCCACGGTGACCGCGCCTGGCCCTGAACCAGGAGCTGGATGCAAGTTTGAGAAAAGTTCTTTCGGTTTGGAATCTGCTAGTTCTGTTTGTGGAAAGTGTGTAACTCGGAACGCATTTCTTAGGCCACGTGGTGAACGGGTTTAAACTTGTAGCCTAATCGGTATTTAGTAACTCATCTTGCTGAGTTAACTTTCCTCAAAAAATGTAACACCTGCCTTTGCAGAGTTTTGGGGGTGCTTCAGTTAGTGAAACGGATGGGTCAATGAGGAAAACCCCTAACCTTTTTCTCTTTTAACGCATAGCCTCAAAACACTAAGACCTTTCTTTGTACTTTATGGATAACAGAGTCAAAGATGGACAGGGTGTATGCTGAAAGCCATTGACTTCTCCAGTATAATTTATTGCTACAGGTGGCCGCTACTAGGTGGCAAAAGCTTCGCAGTGGTGAGAAACCTGTGGGGAAAATTTTGAGTTGGTGATGACTGTTGGACAAATCACTCAACTAGTGGACTTCCTAGTTTCTGTAAACTCACCTGTCTTTTGAAGAAAGGATAATTTAGGGGCTTAGCTACCATCTAGCAAAGACTTTGCTTGTGTCCCCATTTTTAATTAACGGAGGCTAATTAATACTCATGCAGTTTTAACTATGACATGCAAAGTCTAGTTTCTATGAAAAGCCAAAAAAAGAAAAAAAAATGATAATGATCTTTTGAGTTTTTCTAAGCTTTGGTTAATTATGACATCGGCGAACGCTCCCCGTTTCATTTTCTGACATATCATTTCTGTTACTATTAATGTAAAATTAAAAACTGCTAATACTTATTATTGTAATATCCTTAATAGGAACTTGACAGTATGCTTAATTAGCAGAAGTAATGGTGGTTTTTGTCTAATTAAAACCACAAATAATTATTGAAATAGAGTACTCCAGGTGATCAAATAGGTCCTATTTGTTAGCCAAGCAAACAAACAAAACAAGAACTATGTTGCTAAATAGAAAGGTGAACTTGAATTGCTGAGAAATTTAGGGGTCCAGGAAGTGAGAACTTAGGAAAAGGAAACTGTACAGAGAAAACTAAAATGTAGCATATTTAGCTGAAATGTGTCTTTTTGCCTATCCATGAAGTAGAAACCTGATCACAGCACTTGAGAGAGACTGCTTGGGTGTAGATATCCTTGCTTTGGCAAGAAGACTTGGTAAAAACGTCTGTTGCTTCACTTGGCCTGGCTGCTTTGATTTCCATACTTAAAGGTGCATTGTTACCTGTGAACATAAATTTAGAAGATGAGAACTTTTTTTTTTTTTCTTCAAGATAGCAGTTGCACCTAGTGTCCAAGAACCAAAAGTGAGCATTGGCAAGAGCTCCTTTCGTGGGTAGAAAAATAAGTGACTTTTTCAAGGTTACGGGGTGAGTGTGTGGCAGATCTGATTACAGAATGAAAGTTAACCTTCAGATTTCCTTTACACTTCGTCTGTTGTCTGGCTGGTATAGGTTTCCTCATGAAAATACATTATGTCAGCCTGTTAAGTTAATCTTTGTATCTTTGTACCAGTACTAACTATATAACATCCAAGAAAATTTTTTTCTTTATGAACACCTTGGAATTCATATAAAAAGGTAAGTGTGGATTGTGACTTTTAAAGGAATTTTATTTTCAGAAGTCTGTTTGCTCTGTATAAGTTTGATTGAATACTGTTACCTACCTAGCCCCTTGCCCATAGGTGACATTAGAGTTAGTTGAACACAGATCCCTTTCCCACCAAATTTAAGAATTCTTACCAAGCATATTAGAAATCTGTTGCCACTCTTGGCCCAGGCCTACTTTGCACCTGGCCTTGTGGAAACTGAATGTACAGAGATAAAAGACCCATTTTCTGCTTTTAGAAGCAACTTTAACTGATTTCCCAGAGATATCCATAGAATACCCCTTCCTTGATTTTAAATTTAACATTTGATACATATTCCTCATGCTTAATGACATTGAAGGTTTTTTTTGGGGGGGGAGCCTGTGTGTGTGTTTGTTTTGTTATGGTCAGAGATTCATTGTTTTGACTTTTGATGTGTATGAGATCTAGGAAATTTGAGATCCTTTTTGACCTTTTAGCTGAATGACAAAAGTAGCCAGTCAGGTGAGACTCAATGATAGAGCTGTGTTTGGCAAGGTCCTGAGATGGTAGTGAACTCTGCATGTCTAGTCAAAATTAAGAAAGTGCCAGTGATAGGGCCAAATCATATGGAGACTCAGTATCTGTGATCATAAGTTGTTAAAGACGTAGAGTGGTTAAACGACTTACACAAAGTTATACATCTTACATCTAATTAAAAACAAAACAAAACAAAACAAAACAAAACCCAACTCTACCCAACCCAGCCCAACCTCTGGGTCTGAGTCTCAGTCTTGGCTGCCACAGTGCAGCCATATTATTATTATATTGTATACATTTCTTTTTATAATTCTGAAATAGTCTGGCTTTGAAACTTTTAGGGGAGTGGCAGTCAGTGAACTGAACAGTTTGTTAATGTCTATCCATTGTTGGCGATCTTTCCAGGAACCCACATCCTGGCAGACAGGTGAAGAGGGTGCTGTGGTAGTTGGTGATGATTGCAGAGAGGAGCCTAAGAACCTGTCAGTTTGGAGGAATGTTGGCTGAGAACATTGAGTTTGTAATGTTAATGATGCTGAGCACAGTAACATGACCTTTTAGGGAATAGCTGGGGTTTTTTTGTAGATATTGTGGGAAACAGTGCCTCGCAGGCCTCCAATTTTAGAATCCCTGGTGTGGATCCCTGTGAAGCCCAGAGGGTCTCATGTTGTCAAAGAAAACCATCTACCCCTGGGTCCCTGCTGTTGGCTCCAGTTTAATTTTCTGCTTATTTGGGAGTTGTGAGAGGAGAAAAGAAGTGGAGAAGCCTGGCTTTTGTAAGTAAAGGACTAAAGTTTATGTAGAAGTTCTTATCAGCTAAATGAGGTTGTAGGGGAGGCACTGGAGGTTGTAAATGTGCTTTATTGCCCTGGAGAACAAAGATCTGACTTTTTCCCCCTTCTTTTTAAAATGAAGTACAACTGCAATTTCTACTGTTAGAAAATGGAATCCATCGCAAATAAGTTAGATGCTAAACTATTGACCTTTCCTATGCGGAAGACTTTTAAATGATGTCTCATGTTCCAAATTGGTTTTGTTTACTATAAATGAAACATTTCTTTTATGGGTGAGTGCGTGAGTGCATAGGTCCATAGTAGTGAGAACTTTGCTGCCCTTGTTTCCTTGCAGAGGTCTATAGGAATGAAGGCCAGAAAATCACTGAAATTTGTCATATTGGGGGGAGAAAAAGAAATTATACAAGGAAAAAAGAAATTACCTTAGACTCTGTTTACTACTCAATCTGGAATTGTTACTTTGTACAGTGCTTTCTGTTACTAGATAGTTAAGTTTTGCCTGAAAAACTTGAGAAAATTTGTACACATGTGAGCAAATGATAAAAGCAATATACTAATGAAATTTGGGAATTAGTATTGGAAATTTGCTAAAAAAGGTGGGGATAATGGAGGATGGCTTTCCAGGTAGAATGGATTGCCTGTAGCCCACTGCAGGTGGTTTAGTATGGAAAAGGAAGAGGCAGTAACAAATTGATGGATGGTGGTGATCTTTTAGGGACAGGACTAAGGATGAATGGAGCTTCAGGGAGCATAGAACTTGGCAAGACTTACAGCTACAGAGCTGAAAAACAAGCAAATATCACTCATATAGCACGTATTTTGAACACTTAACTGTATATGCCTAATGCTAAGCTTTCTAAAGGTAGAAAACTTACTGAATTACCTCTTTACCGTTAATCCTTTGTTTAAAAGAATAATAGGAGGTGGATGCACTTAGGAAAAATAGATGAGTGAGTACAGAGAGAAAGAAGGCTTTTGAGCTCATAGCAACATTGACAGGTAAGCCAGTGTTATGCTGTTATAAAGGAATGAAACTCTTGACCTACTATGTCTGGTACAAGTTTGTGTTCTCTAAAATCGAAGAATGAATTTTAAGCACAGTGTAGGTAAGAGTAGAATATATTTATGGAGAGAAAGAAAACTGAGAGAGACAGAAGGAGTCCCAGCAGGTTGCCAAGGACTGTCTTTTCCAGGAATTTTTATAGAATAAAATCATGGGGTGAGACAGTTAAGGTGGGGAAAACTGGGAACTCACAAGGCACATGGGCATAAGGTGGGACAGAAATATGGTTAGCCAATAAGATTAATAGTTCAGGTAAAATTGATTACATTAGGAACAAATGGGGAAGCCAGTCATGTACAAAGCCGGCATTCTTAGAGAGCAATGACTCTTCCATAGGGGGTGGGAATGGTGACTCCTGACTTCCTTAGGGTGATAGGGAACTATTCAGAATTTCAGTCATTAGGATATGGGTGCATTTGATCTTTTGTCTTGAGGCCTGGCCCACAAGATGTCTGTCTTCCCCATAGTTGCAACATATCTGGGCTTCTGCACTGGTTCCCTTGAGGACCTAGCCCTGTCTCACTGCCTATAATATTTTAACTAACTCAGCTGCCTATAACAATGCTACGACACAGACACAGAGGTGCATAGTTGAGCAACGTTCTTCATCTACCAAGACAGTGCTTGTTCCAGTATTGGCCTTTGTACAATTCTGAGTAAATGTTCATTCTTCCAATTGTCTTTTTCTAATGATCTTCTTAAATCGTTTTCTTAAGGGATTATTCTCTTTCCCTTTTTATTTTTTCATTTATTGTGCTTGATAAAATTTACCTTTACTTG